CAGATTCTGGCTGTCCCCTGCATTTCACACCCTCCAGCCCTTGGCCACCCAGGAAGGGACATTCCCACCCGGGGGGGTGGCAGCATGGGGACTGCAGCCGCTCCCCAGCCCAGACCTTCCCTTTGGCCAGGGATGCGTGACGTGCCGAGGGTTTCGGGGCCTGACGGGCTGTGGGGTTTTCCTCCTCCCACGCCTTTCCTGGTGGATGCTGTCCCCCCAGGGGGCTGCTGGGGTCTCTGGGACAGAAGCCACCCGACTGGAAGGGACACGAGGCACTTGGCCTAAAACACACAGCGGGTCAGCAGCAGTGGGGTGACAAGGGTGTGAGCCTGGCCACATGCACCGAGCTGTGCAGAGTCTCAGCATCGTCCTCCGCTCCGGCCCCCGCCCTGGTGCCAGGAGGGCCCCTGGGGACGCAGGGAGCTGCGCTGTGGGGCGGGGGTCGGCACGGGTGCAGGGGCACCGCCACATGAATCCTGCTGTATGGCTGCCTCTCCCCAAAATCAGTTGCGCAGCAGGGTTTGCCCAGCTGGAAGGAGGGCAAGGAAATGTGTCCAACATCCTGCAACCTATCTCCAGGGTGAAACCCTTCGGAAAGTACTGGAGCGGGCAGCTGGAGGCGGTTTAACTTGCTGGGAAGCAGGTAATGAAAAGCATTCAACCCTCTGCAACCCATTTCCCAGCTAAACCCCCCCCAGAAAGCACCACAAAAGAGCAAAGCCTCAGCATTCCAGCGGGTCCTTGTCCTCCCGATGCTCAGGTGATGCTTCCGGGGTGCAGGGACCATGAGCTGGGGGTTTGCCCCGCTCCCTACCAAGCCCCGGCTCTTATCGTGCCCCCAGCTCCACCTCCGACCCACGGAGAGGGTGACGGTGACACATGGGGGACACACACATGATGTTATTAATACATTTTGCCTAATAGCAGATGAAATCATCCCTGGTTGTGAGTGGGCGTTTGTCCCCTCAGCTCCATCAGCTGCGTTTGGAGGGGATTCTGGTTCAGGCATAATTATTTCACGTCTGACTCGTGAGATGGGTTTTTCTCCATGTGATTGAGCTTTCCTGCTCCTGCCAGCCTTGGTTGATCACTTAAGCAGGTGAGAAACACACATGCATATCGCCACTGGCCGGCATCCATGGCACTGGTGGTGAGCGCCAGACCCCTGGTGTTGTCCCGCACGAGGCTCCCGGGTGTCTCCGGGTGCCGGTCTGGTGTTGCTGTCCTGATGGACTCACTGGTCCTGGCCAGCTGGAGGACAGTGCTGGAGACATGTCACCTCCCTGCTGTGCCACCCCAAGGCGCTGCTTGGGCCACTGGTTTGCAGCCAGCTGCACCAATCCAACCAGGACACCACTGCTTTGCAGGCAACCTACACCCAGTCCAACCAGGACACCACTGGTTTGTAGCACACCTCCACCCAGTCCAACTGGGATGCCACTGGCTTGCAGCCCATCTGGACCAGTCCAACTAGGGGATGCCACTCATTTGCAGCCCACCTTCACACATTCCAACTGAGATGCCACTGGCTTGCAGCCCACCTTCACCAAATCCAGCTGGGACACCACTGGTTCGCAGCTCACTTTCACTCAGTCCAGTGGGGATGCCACTGGTTTGCAGCCCACCTGCACCAGTCCAGCC